CCCCCCCATTGAAAACTCCTGAGTACACCTCTGCATCACACCAAAGAAGTGTTTAAAATTATGGTTTATTATTTATTTCATTTTGCATTTATTTAAAACCGTTCACACAATCGTTTAAAAATTATATTACCTACTAATTTTTAATTCAAGATGTAAATTTTTTAAACGTATTTTGGGATAATTTTAAAATAATATATTATTAACTTGAATATAGTTAGATATCGCTAAAATGCTTAGGAGCAAATTGAGAGGCCTGGGGCGATTAGTCCCCCCCCCTAAAAAAATCTAGGACAAACAATTTTAAAATGCTATATTATAAATATCTGTTTGTCTTTTATTATATTCAACTCCCTCTCCAAGTCAAAAGTTGAAATTGCACCTAGGTATGTTAAAATTTATAAAAATAAAAATTTGCTAAAAAAAGCATCGAACACCACGATGCATTGTAACTACAGGCATGGGGTTTTTAATGGATTTTCTTAGGTCAATATTATTTGATATTATAGGGAATTTCAAAAAAAAAAAAAATAATAATAATAAGATGTATTTTTTATTTTTAACTGACTTTTTTTTCATCACAATTTCAAAACTTTTGAGCCGGCAGTTGTAGCGTTGTAGGTACCGGTAACAAAATTATTTTATTTTTTCAAATGGTAACAATTTTATTTTTGAGCAGAAAATTTGAAAAGACAAATTCATAGTCTTTATTCTTAGTTCAATTTGTACAAAAAAAAAGGAGTAAATAATGAAGCAGATATGCAAAATGTTGCTCAATTTCCGACCGCCAATCGTATATCATCACTTTTTATATCATGTTGAATTCTATGGTGCTATGCCACCATAACACGAATGGTTTTAAGACTAATTATATTATAATATAATAATTGTTTCGATTAAAACTAACAATCGCACTTTATCTAAAGTGAATGATGCGTGCATAACATGTTATTCGTTATTTTTATAATGGTATATTATAGTGTGTTATTACATGTCATTATTACTAGGGCTCGGATGTTGTTGCACTAAAAATGTTATAAAATTGATTGCATTATTGCTGTGAAAAAAAACCCAAAATTGCACTTAAAAATTGCAATATAAAAATATTTTGAACCAAAAAAATAAATAAATATATTAACAAATTATTTTATGAAATGGATTAAGTCATTTTATTAAGTAATATTATAAAGTTTTATTAGATAGGTTTTAAACGAGTAGATAATAAAAAAGATTCAAATTCA